TTATATGGATACAAGCAAGCAAAAAGTGAGATTTAAAATGGGAAAAAAACAAACATCCATTTCCTCTATTTTTTCTTGTATTTTGCAGGTGTATCAGTCTCCCGTGAAATCTTCCAGCAGCAGGAGTACCCCGAGGTGGGAATAACTCCATCCTGAAGGTTTGGCCTCAGGCAAACTGTAGAAAGAGAAGGTAAAGGAGGGAGACAGGAACTGATGCTGCTCCGTGGTTTTGTTGGAGCCTTTTAAAGGCAGCTCAGGTGTCCCGGCCATTTTACCGTGCCCTCAGGATCTAAATGCACGTTTATTTTCCTTGTCCCATCCTTTGTGCTTTGCCCCTGCAGCCCAACCTGTATTATTCCACGATGTGCAGCCTCTGGATGACAGAGCAGAGTGTTTGTGAATACCTGCACAAAAGTAGGAAAAAAACCACTGCAGAACAGATAAAACCAATCAATCTTGCAGTGTTTGAGGTGACTCCCAAGAGCCTGGCAGGGAAGGGGAGCTAAACCCACCAGGTTCATGATGTGAGTGTGTGGAAAATGATTTTTAGGGACAAAACACTTTGATTTACCTGGAGGATTTGGTTTCACTGGCAGCGCTTTTCCCAACCCTGCCCAGCTAAAGGAGAGGGGAAGGCCCAAAAGAGGCAGGTTTTCCCTGAGTTTTCCTAGAGAAAAGGCTGTGGGGAGGCAGGAGGGCTGGAGGCAGCGGGCACACCCTGCCTGCCCCACCGCAGGGACCTCTCGCTTGCCTCAGCAGCTTTTTCCAAACTCCGCATTCCTGCAGAGAAATCCAGCGTTCAGCTCATCCATTATTCCTCCCAGCTGCTCTTTGCCGCGTGGGGCGGGCATTGGGGAGGTGGGATTTGTCCCGAACGTGTCCCGTCCTTTTCTTCCCTGCCCATTGACTCGGCCAACATCTGCTCCCCTTAACCCTCGCTGGCCCCACGGCTCCGGGGACCCTTTATGGCTGCAGAGCACTCGGCATTGTGTCACACACAGCCGAGGTGTCCGGGGAGCAGAAACCCCTCCTTTTGCTGGGGTGCAGTGGCATTTGTGCACTAAAATCCACCCTGGATAGCTCAGCAAAAAGCAACAGTCGCAGGAGGTAAATCAAAGTGCTCTCTCCCTAAAAATAATTTTCCGCACACTCACATCATGAACCTGGTGGGTTCAGCTCCCCTTCCCTGCCAGGCTCTTGGGAATCACCTCAAACACTGCAAGACTGATTGGGTTTATCTGTTCTGCAGTGGTTTTTTTCCTACTTTTGGGCGTGAATTGCTTTTCACCCCCTGCTCTGCCATAGGGGCTTCACTGGAAGCAGCGTGGATACCTATGGATCCCATATGGCTCCTCTGGGAAGCAGCTCCACCATAAATACTGGAAATAGGCACGGAGCAGATGGGAGGGAAGGGGCACCAGTTTTAACAGCAAAATCCTCCCTGCTTCGCACGGCAACAAATGGGAAGGGATATATGAGGAAGGACGAGAGGTGTTTGCAGGGACGCGGTGCACTTTGCATGCGGCTCCGCTCCCCTTCCCGCTGAGGGGAGAAGAAGGGAGGGTTTTACGTTTCATTTACGAGGCATTTCGGGCTCTGCGGCTCGCCAAGAGCCGGAGGGAAGTGCCACAGGGAGGGAGGGAGGGAGGGAGACGTGACAGCGCACACAAAGGGAGCCCGAGCGGCGGCTCCGCTCGCATACCAATGCGGCAGGTGGGGACAACTCCGGGACAGCTCCGGGGACTGTCCCGGGACAGGTCCGGGACAGCTCCAGGGACACTCCAGGGACAGCTCCGGGACAGGTCCGGGACAGCTCCAGGGACACTCCAGGGACAGCTCCGGGGACTGTCCCGGGACAGCTCTGGGACAGCTCCAGGGACACTCCAGGGACAGCTCCGGGACAGGTCCGGGACAGCTCCAAGGACACTCCAGGGACAGCTCCGGGGACAGGCCCGGGACAGGTCAGGGACAGCTCCAGGACTGTCCCGGGACAGCTCCAGGGACACTCCAGGGACAGCTCCAGGACAGCTCCGGGGACAGGTCCAGGGACCGCCCCGGGACAACTCCAGGGGCATCTCCGGGACAGCTCCAGGGACAGCTCCGGGGACAGCTCAGGGACAGGTCCGGGACAGCTCCAGGGACAGCTCCGGGGTCTGCCCCGGGCCCGGTGACTCCTGGCCGGCAGAATGGGTTCTCACAGCCCGGTGATCCCGGATCCAGCCCCAAGAACTAACAACGGGACGGGGATCCAGCCCCGGGGCCAGGCTCTCCCAGAGCAATTCCGGATCCAGCCCGGGCAGGGAGCGGCTCCTGCGCTGTCCGGACCCGAGCGGGGCTCCAGCCCCTGAACAAAAGCAAAGCTTTGATCTGGGCTCCTAAAGAAGCTTCCAGCCCCGGGTTCTGCAGGAAGGAAGTCACCAAAGGGAAGCAGAGAGGCAGCTCCTCCAGAGGGGCCTGGGACACCAGGGACCCCGAGCTGGGCGGGAGAGCAGGATGGGGAATTTTAAAGGGAGCACACACACACAAACATGGGGAATAAGCGCAGGAGAACGGCCGCAGTGCCTCAGGCAAACCCTCACACTGCCCATCTTCCCCACAGGAATCGTTCTGGGGGAAGGTGAGGGAGCTGCTCTCGTGTTCCCACTGCTCTCTGCCCAGGAATCTGCACCTCAGGGGCTTCCCCAGACGGCGACAGCCCTGCTTTCCACAGGCTTGTCCCCTTCTCCCGTGGAGCCCCGGTGCCAGCCCCACAGCGTCCCTCAGCAGCCTCCGTCCCTCGTTCCGTGCTCTTCTCCCATCGTGAGATGCCCCCTAATGCTCACAGCGCAGCATCCCGGCCTCCAGCCGCGTGTCAGCACGTCCCGGGCTCCAGGATCCTCTCTCCAGCCCCCCTGGCATATCCCTGACTCCAGAATCCTCTCTCCAGCCCCCTGGCACATCCCTGGCTCCAGAATCCTCTCTCCAGCCCCCTGGAACATTCTGGGCTCCAGAATCCTCTCTCCACTCCCCCTGGCACATCCCAGGCTCCAGAATCCTCTCTCCAGTCCCCCTGGCTCCAGAATCCTCTCTCCAGCCCCCTGGCACATCCCTGGCTCCAGAATCCTCTCTCCAGTCCCCCTGGCTCCAGAATCCTCTCTCCAGCTCCAGCACATCTCTCAGCAGGGTAATCCCTGCTTCCATGATGGAAGTCATGATGAAAGGCTACAAAAGCTTTGCCGGAGCGATAGGAAAGGGGAATTAAGCGCCAGAAAACTCAAATTCGGGCTGGGAGGCAAAAAATGACACCAGATAATGTGGATTTTGGTGGTTATGGGCTGTAAATTTGCTGTTACTGCAGATCATTTTTAGCGTGTTCAGCACTTCCCTAATGTGCTGATAGTGAAAAGGAAACAGCGAGAGAGTAACCACCCCTCACAAATCCGCCGTGTCCCAAAGCATCCCAGATGCTTCCCAGATGGATTAAATATGCCACACAGGGGTCTGGAAAGGGCAGGTGGCACCGTGTGACCAGGGCTCGGGGTGACCAGTGCCACCAGGGCAGCTGGGCCAGCCCTGCTGTGGGGAACAGGGAGCCAGAGACAGGGTGTGCCTCTGGGAACAGCGGGATCACGGGGATCATGGGGATCCAGCCCCATTAATTGATAATGGGATCGGGGATCCAGCCCCAGGGTGTGCCTCTGGGAACAGCGGGATCATGGGGATCCAGCCCCATTAATTGATAATGGGATCAGGGATCCAGCCCCAGGGTGTGCCTCTGGGAACAAGGGGATGGGGATCCAGTCACACAAACTAACAATGGGATGGGGATCCAGCCCCCTTAATTATTATAGGATGGAGATCCAGCCCCATTAATATGATGGGATGGGGAGTCAGACCCAGGGTGTGCCTCTGGGAACAACAGGATGGGGATCCAGCCCCATGAATTAATGATGGGATGGGGATTCAGTCCTGTTAATTGTTATGGGATGGGGATCCAGCCCCGTGAATTAATGATGGGATGGGGATCCAGCCCCATGAATTAATGATGGGATGGGGATTCAGTCCTGTTAATTGTTATGGGATGGGGATCCAGCCCCATGAATTAATGATGGGATGGGGATCCAGTCCTGTTAATTATCATGGGATGGGGATCCAGTCCCATGAACTAACGACGAGGTGGGGATCCAGTCACACGAAATGACAATAGGATGGGGATCCAGCCCCATGAATTAATGATGGGATGGGGATCCAGCCCCATGAATTAATGATGGGATGGGGATTCAGTCCTGTTAATTGTTATGAGATGGGGATCCAGCCCCGTGAATTAATGATGGGATGGGGATTCAGTCCTGTTAATTGTTATGAGATGGGGATCCAGCCCCGTGAATTAATGATGGGATGGGGATCCAGCCCCATGAATTAATGATGGGATGGGGATCCAGTCCTGTTAAATATCATGGGATGGGGATCCAGTCCCATGAACTAACGACGAGGTGGCGATCCAGTCACACAAAATGACAATAGGATGGGGATCCAGCGCCATGAGTTAATGATGGGATGTGGCTCCAGCCCCGTTAATTATGATGGGATGAGGATCCACCTCCATGAACTAACGATGGGATGGGGATCCAGCCCCATGAATTAATGATGGAATGAGCATCTAACCCCATTAATTATGATGGGATGAGGATCCAGCCCCGTGAATTAATGATGGGATGTGGCTCCAGCCCCATTAATTATGATGGGATGAGGATCCAGCCCCATGAATTAATGATGGAATGGGGATCCAGTCCCATTTAGCACTTTAATTAACCACATGGGTGAAGGTCCAGCCGCTTTAATTGACGGTGGGACGCGGGGCCAGCCCCGCTAATTGCCGATCCAGCCCCGCTAATTGCCGCGCACGCGGGTCCCTGAGGGGCGGCAATGGCGGCTCCGGCCGCACCCCAACCCCGCCAGCAGGGGGCGCCACCCGCCCCGCGCATGCGCGGCCCGCGGCACCTCCCGCCGCGCGCGGCCCTTCAGCGGCGCCCGCCATGTTCGCGGAGCTGAACGAGCTGCTCGGGGCCTCCCCGGAGCGCCCGGACGCGGTGAGAGGGCGGTGAGAGGGCGCTGAGAGGGCGGGAGGGACGGGCCGGGCCGGGGCCGCCGGGAGCGGCGGGGCACGCTGGGAGGGGCACGGCCTCCGCACACGGAGGCGGCGGCTGCGGCCGGTGCCAGAGCTGAGCCGCCTTCGGCCCTTCAATCTCCCGTTCCCGGCTCCCCGCCGCCCCTCACGGCTCCGGCTCCGAGTGAGCAGCGGCCGAGCTCTGCTCCTGCGGTGTGTCCGTGCTCCCGTGCGGGGAATAAACACGGAACTGGGCGTTAAACCCGCTGGCGGGCACTCCTCCGGACCAGGGAGCTGTTCTAGAGATACTTGTCATTTAGGGCACTGAATTAATTACTGTAGCCTTTCCAGGGAGGTTTTGTGTTAATGAAGTCACACAGGAACTAAACAGCCTCGCTGTTTCTGAGAGCTGTGCAGGTAAAAGTCAGTCAGGGACTCCCGGAGTGGTTTGGGCTGGAAGAAGCCTCAAAGCTCATCCAGTCCCACCTCCTGTCCTGTGCAGGGACATTTTCCTCCATCCCTGGCTGCTCCGAGCCCCGTCCAGCTTCGCCTGGGACACTTCAGGGATGCAGGGGCAGCCACAGCTGCTCTGGGGATTCTATTCTAGGGCCTCCCCACTCTTCCAGCCAGGAATTCCCAGTCTCCCATCCAGTCCTGCCCTCTGGCAGTGGGAGCCATTCCCTGTGTCCTGTCCCTCCATGCCTTGTCCCCAGTCCCTCTCCAGCTCTCCTGGAGCCCCTCCAGGCCCTGCCAGGGGCTCTGAGCTCTCCCTGGAGCTTCTCCTCTCCAGGGGAACATTCCCAGCTCTCCCAGCCTGGCTCCAGAGCAGAGGGGCTCCAGCCCTGGAGCAGCTCCAGGTCTGTTTTCCATCTGTCCATCCATTCCCCAGCCTTTGCTGATTCTGGGGGTTGTCCTGACTCATGTGCAACACCTTGCACTTGGCCTTGTTGAACCTCATGAGGTTTCCATGGACCCACTTTGTCCCTCTGGATGCCCCATCCTTCCCTTTGGCATGTGACCACACACCAGCTTGGTGTCATCAGTAATTATTAATAAATTATCTGTGTGCTGCATGTTACTCCTCGTTTTTCCTGACAGTTACGAGCTTAGATGATAAAAGCAAGTTTAGGGTAATAATTTATTTTATAAGTCTGAGTTTCCTCTTTCTCTCCAGTTTCTGCCCTTGCTGTACTACCAGCTTGTGATGGGAACAGGGGAGGTTTCTCCGTGATCTGGAAGGTACTTCTGAGGTCATTCCTTGTCAGGCTGGCTGGAGTGGGGCAGTGCTGCTCTGACGGGAATCAGTACTGAGGGGAATTTGGGATGGTGCCCTTGAGGCTCAGAGCAGCTCTGGGGAGGTGTTAGTAAAGGATAGTCTGGATGTGCAAAGTCCCAAGGCCCTGTGGTGCCTGTGGGTCGGTGTTGGGTTTTTGATGTACATGGAACACTAAGGGAGAAGTGCTTGGTGGAGTTTGTGCTCTGTGCTGTGGAGAGGACACGTTGGTGGTGGAGCTGTGGGATGAGCTGGAATGAGGGCATCCATGAGCTTGGTTCTGAGGCAAGGAGCTCACCTTGGTGTGAGCAGGAAATTCCACAGAGCAAAACCCCAAGATTTGGCCTCAAGATCCTCGTTCTGAACTTGGCAGCTGGAGCAGGAGCTGAGCGAGGCTCTGTCTGTGAGGAATTCCCTTGGGTTGAGTTGGGCGTTCCCATCCCAGCACAGGGTGTGGGCTCCCCTCTGTCTGGGTGTGACTGCAGGGTGGCTGCCTGCCCAGGGAGCGCTGTTCCAATGCTGGAGTGGGGAATGACCTCCTGCAGCACTCAGGGTACTAAATGTGCTTTACTCTGGTGGTAAATGGTGAGTAGCGTGTGTGCAGGTGCCCCTCGGTGATCCCTGTGCAGAGCAGTCCCCGCAGTGTGTTGGGATACCCAGCCAGCCCGAGTCCCGCTGTGTGACTTGTGCCGATTTCCGCAGCTCCCAGCCGGGCCGTGCCGCTTCCCGAGCTGACAGGAGCTGTCCCCGCGGGCTGCTGGGCGCAGGGAGCTGCTGTGGCTGTGGGTGTGCCCGCTGTGTCACCCTGCGCTTGTGACAGCCGCTGCTGCCCCGCCGAGGCGTTCCGGCAGTTCTGACAGGCAGCTGCAGCCTCTCCCTCAGCCTGCCGGTGCTGAGAGTGAGGGCACAGCGTGGGCAGAACGGGCTGGGGCTCATGGGGAAGGTGCTGCAGGAAGGCTTTGCCTTTGGAATGGTGCTGTGTGCTCAGAGTGACAAACCCCACGGTGCCACCCGTTGGGAGCCAGCGGTGCTGGCAGGGAGGGCACAGGGAGAGTGCTCAGCCTGCTCTTCTGGGGGCTCTGGAGGGGATGGAGCTGCAGAAGATAAACCCTGAACGTCTGGGTTTGTGCTGTTTGAGCGCAGCTCTCCTCCATGGAGGGCACGTCTTGGGGCGGTGTCCCTGTCACTGCAGTGTGTTATCCCATTGAGGCAAACCCCTTTTGGGGGGAAGAGCTCTCACTCCAGCTCTACTTCCCTGCCCTGGCCTCTGCTCTGCCTTCCCTGCAGTCATGTTCAGTGTTTGCTGTTCCATTCTCTCTGCTTTAGGCACCGGGGAGTTTGTTCTGATGGATGCCTTGGGAATTGCCTGTGTGGAGATGGCTCGTTGCTGTGAAAGGCTTCTTCTGTTCCTGGGAGTAGAAAAACCTCCCACTTTGATAAGTTCTTTGTGTTTCCAAGCAGCTCATCTATGATTTGTATTGATTAAAGAAACATCCTGCCTAAGATTTTTAATGGAAACAAACACCTTGATGAGGCTGGGGCTGATAATGAGTGTGCACTAATGAACAGAATTAATTTCCTGCCTGATCAAAACAGGGTTTATACCTTGTGCTGAGAGCCCTGCTGCACTACAGAATTTTGGTGTAAAGGTTTTCTGCCTTGACGGTAGCATGTTGGAAGTGAACCTGGAAGGGAGGACAGGGAGAGCTGTTTGGGCACAGGAGGAACAGCAGGTCTAGAAGTGCTGGCATTTGAACACACTGGCAATGCGGGCTGTGGCACGGGGAGAATGGGCTGGGCATGCAGTGAGTGAGTGAGTGGCTGTTGTTCCCCTGCCCCTGGGAGAAGAAAGATGCCAGTGAATTGGGGGAGAGGGGCACAAGGCTGGGAGGTGGAACCTGCCCAGAACCCCCTTGGTGGTGTCCAGCACCAGAGGCTCTGTGTGGTGGCACTGAGAGCACCGTGCTGCACGTCCAGGGAGGGGGTGGCACGTGCTGGGCACAGACCTGGGGTCCAGCTGGGCTCACAGTTGAGCACAAGGGTTTTTAGCTGGTGGACATGTGGGGCCATGGTTCAGGGGTGAGCTTGGCAGTGCTAATGGTTGAGCTGGGTTCATGGTTGGGCTTGGTGGGCTCAGAGGGCTTTCCCAGCCTTGGTGATGCTGTGGTTGAGATACCTCCCTGTGGGCAGTGTCCAGAGGAAGTGCTGGCTTCCCTTTGCAAGCAGGCAGCTGGAGCTCTGCTTGTCCACTTCCTCCTCTGGGTAGCACCTGCAGAGTTCCTGCAGCTTGGGCCAACATCTTGTCTGCCAAGAGCAGTTGGTGCCCTCACCTTACTCTGTTATTTTGCTGCTTCCTTTGCAGGGTAAATTCACTCTGCTGCGAGACACCCAGACAGATGGCAGCTTCCTGGTGCACCACTTCCTCTCCTTCTACCTCAGAGGTGGGTCAGCAGCAGCAGCACACTCTGAGGCAGGGACACCTCAGAGCTTCCCTCAGGGCTGCTCCATGACCAGAGGGCAGTTGTGCAGAGTGTGAGTTATCTTCAGATAAACCCAAAGTTTGGCGGTAGGATTTATGGGTCCTAGTCCTGACTTGTTCTTGGGACTCCTCTGTGTCCTTGGGTGCATCCCATAATTCTGCACCTTGTTTCATCATAGATTGTGGCAATGCTTGTAAATCACACAGGCTCTGACAGGGAGGTGTTCACTGCAATTCTCTCACTGCTTCCATTTTTATGATGTAATTACACATATCAGGACCAATTAACAACAGATAAACTCAGAGTGAGTCAAGAAACAAACAGAGCCTGCCAAGGTGTCTGATTACCTTTCTGGGAGCAGTTTCTCCTGTGAGTAACCTCCTGGCCCCTGCAGAGCAGGCACTGGACTCAGGGACTCCTCCAGCTGTAAATGGTTCAAAGAGACCTGAAGACACTGCCTCAGGCTCTGCTGATCTCCTGCCCCGCAGCAGAGCCCTGGGCATTGGAGCTGCCCCCCAGCAGAGCCCTGGGCATTGGAGCTGCCCCCCAGCAGAGCCCTGGGCCTTGGTGCTGCCCCACAGCAGAGCCCTGGGCATCGGTGCTGCAGGGCAGCAGTGCCCTGGGCATCGGTGCTGCCCCACAGCAGAGCCCTGGGCATCGGTGCTGCCCCCCAGCAGAGCCCTGGGCATTGGAGCTGCCCCCCAGCAGAGCCCTGGGCCTTGGTGCTGCCCCACAGCAGTGCCCTGGGCATCGGTGCTGCCCCACAGCAGAGCCCTGGGCATCGGTGCTGCCCCACAGCAGAGCCCTGGGCATTGGAGCTGCCCCCCAGCAGAGCCCTGGGCCTTGGTGCTGCCCCACAGCAGAGCCCTGGGCATTGGTGCTGCCCCACAGCAGAGCCCTGGGCATCGGTGCTGCGGGGCAGCAGTGCCCTGGGCATCGGTGCTGCCCCACAGCAGTGTCCTGGGCGTTGGTGCTGCCCCACAGCAGAGCCCTGGGCATTGGAGCTGCCCCCCAGCAGAGCCCTGGGCCTTGGTGCTGCCCCACAGCAGAGCCCTGGGCATCGGTGCTGCCCCCCAGCAGAGCCCTGGGCATTGGAGCTGCCCCCCAGCAGAGCCCTGGGCCTTGGTGCTGCAGGGCAGCAGTGCCCTGGGCATTGGTGCTGCCCCACAGCAGTGTCCTGGGCGTTGGTGCTGCCCCACAGCAGAGCCCTGGGCGTTGGTGCTGCCCCACAGCAGAGCCTTGGGCATTGGAGCTGCCCCACAGCAGAGCCCTGGGCATTGGTGCTGCCCCACAGCAGAGCCCTGGGCGTTGGTGCTGCCCCACAGCAGAGCCCTGGGCATCGGTGCTGCCCCACAGCAGAGCCCTGGGAGTTGCTGTCCAGAGCTGCCTGTGTGCCTGGGAAAAGCCTTCCACCCCTGGTGGGTGGGCAGCCCTGTGGGCTGTTAATGTGTCTCAGGACAGCTGTGCTGGCTGTCACCTGCCCCTGTCCAACCTGGGTGCAATTATTCCCTGTTTGCAGCACCCCCATGTTGTCCTCTTGGTGCCCAAAACCTTTGGGAGGTCTGAAGGTTCATCTGGGGCCATTGACTTGTTCTACTTGAAATCCATGTCCAACAAACATGGTCGTGTTTGTAGCCAAACTGTGTTTCAGAATCACTTTTTATTTAGGCGTCTGACACAATTGCCAGTTCTGTGTTTTTCCAGTCAAGGTCACTTGCGCTGTGAGAGCCAAAATGGGAATTTTTGGCATGTCTGTGGTTTTAGTAGTTCAGTGTCACAGCTGGCCCTTGGCCTCCTTACTGTCACACCATCAAACAGGGTTAGGAGGTCCCAGGCTGGCCTGGCATGAGGCAGAAATGGGCCTTACACTTTTTAAAGTAATCTTTTTCATTATTTCCCTCTCTTTTTAAACTAACATTTTCACTAATACAGATATACTCTAGAAGGGTGAAAACTGAAAGCAAAGGAGAGTTTGTCTAGACCTGCATCACTTCAAGGTCCTTCCAAACAGATGTGTGGCCTGGCTGCTGTGATTTATGAGCTTTGATAATGTCAGCTGCAAGGTGGATCTGCTAATGTGTGCTTTTGTCTGTCCCCAGCTGGCTGCAAGGTTTGCTTTGTGGCCCTGCTGCAGTCCTTCAGCCACTACAGCATCGTGGCACAGAAGCTGGTGAGTCTTGGCATGGGTTCACTGTTATGGGTCCAGGTAGTTTCTGTTGGGTGGGAAGGAATGGGAATGAGGAGCAGGAACTGTGTGTGAGCAAATGTTTCCATGTCTTGATGGGGACAGTCGGGGTCGGTGCTCCTGTGATAAAGAGCACTTTGGGGCAAAATCCTGGCTGTGAGGTGCCCCACGGGCTCTGCCCTGCCAAGGGCTGGATGGCTGCTTGCTTTGTGCTTGGAAGTGTTTGCTGGGGATCACTGCTCCCCAGACAGGCACAGACCGGTGGATGGAGGTTCCTTAGTCCCCTGGAGAGGAAAATGCTGTGGTGTCAGTGTTCCCAGGACCGCTGCACCCCTGCAGGAGCTCCTGAGGGGACTTTGTGCCCTGTCCCCTGGCTCCTGGTGGGATGCAGGGCTGAGTCACAAGGACACCTGTGTGCCTCCTTGGCCTCTGGACTGAGCCATCCCTTTGAGCTCTGAGAGGAGCCACAGGTAAGTTCCTAGGGATTTCCTTCCCCTGCTGAGTTGGACAAGGATTATGTGTACTCTGAAATGAAGAAACAGAGACAAAGCAGGCAGGGTAATTCTGCATGTCAGCATATTGTCTGAGCTCCAAACTGCTTCACTCAGCTCTTTGTGCAACACTCCAAGGTGAAACGCTCCAGGTGGGAAGTGCAGGTGACCTTCCAGGGCTGAGGGGATGAGGGCTTGCACTGCTCCTCCCTGTGGTTCTGCTGTGAGTGCCAGCAGCCCTGCTGCTCATCAAGACTCCCAGGTGCTGAGGAACCAGGTTCTGTATTCCCCTCTGCAAACATGGTGCTGCTAAACACCTGTATTTTATTTGCTGCTCAGGCTTTACCTTTTGGAAGGAGATCAGCGGCCCGGGGTGCACAGCAAACACGGTGCTGCCCCACGGAGCTGTAACTCCCGGTGTGATTCCCCTGCTGAACAAAGCACCCCCAGGAGCACAGCGCTCTCCTGGCCTTTGTGGTGCAGAGAGGAGGAACTCGTGGGGGGAACTTGCTGAGTGGGGCAGGAAATGGGGCACAGCAGCCGCTGTGGGGAGGAAACCCAGCGGGTAAATAGGGGATCCCTGCCTGCTCCTGAAGTCAGGTGTTTCCCAATGCCGAGATTTCCCGGTGTACGCTTAATGGGAGCTGCTGACATCTCCCTGGCTGGCAGGCTGAGGAGCAGAGCAGGAGGATTAGCTGCGGCACACGTGCGATGCAAATGGGGGCGATTTGCTGTCTGATACTCGAACAAAAGGTGGCTGCCACAAAGGAGGTGATAAGCACAGCTCAGAGAAGCGCTGAGCTGCTTTCAGCTCTGAGTCACTCCTGCCTTGCAGCTTCATAGGTGCCCCTGTGGTCCTTGCTGTGAATTCTTCCGAGCTCTGAGGAGCTGCAGGTCGCAACATCAGTTATTTATATCCAGGTTTCCGTCACATTTTCTCTTTGCTTTAATCCTTCTTTGCACAGATGAACACGTCAGGCTCAGAAAAGGTGCTTCTCGGCAGGGTAGTTTCACTCCTAAATTTACTTAAGTGGCTGCTGTAGGATCTTTACTGGAGAGCAGTAATGGTGTGGCCACAGGCCCAGGGCAGTGCCCATCCCCTGTGCTGGCACTGCTGAGGCACAGCCAGTCCTGGGGGCAGATTTGTGATCCCCAGGTACAGGACAGAGTGTGTCCAGGGCAGGGGATGGAGAAGATGCTGGAGGAGTTGGTAGAGGGGCTCAGCCTGGAGAAAAGGAGGCTCAGGGTGGACCTTGTGGATCTGCACAGCTCCTGACAGGAGGGGACAACCGGGGGGCTTGGGCTCTGCTCCCAGGGGATACCTGGGAGCTCTGCTCAAGGGTTACCAGGGGAGGTTCAGGTAGGATATTGGGAAAATTCCTTCCTTGGAAGGGTGGTCCAGCCCTGGCCCAGCTGCCCAGGGCAGTGCTGGAGTCCCCATTGGTGAAGGGATTTAAAAACCCCGTGTATGTGGCACTTGGGGACATGGGTTGGTGGTGGCCTTGGCAGTGCTGGGGAATGGCTGGGCTGGATGGTTCAGGGGACTTTTCCAGCCTCAGTGATTCTGTGACTGTCATTATGCCCTCAGGAAAGCCTGCACTTGGAAGAGCTTCAGAACTGAGCAGTGCCCCAGTTTCTGTTGGGAGCAGGGTAGTCCCAGCCCCAGGAGGAGGCTCCTGGAGCCAGGGTACGTTGTACAGTGACACTTGTAGCACTGATGTGTGGTGATAAAGTGAGTATTTATACACAGCTGAAGTGATGCTTCAGGGACTTGCTGCTTTCCCAGAGTGCCGGGTGTTACAAGTCCCAAACCACTTCCTTATGTGTTAGGTAAGTGCAGGGATTTATCTTTACTTGCAGGAAAAAACTTCTCTGGCTTTTTTTGTGCCTGTGTCCTCTTTCTCTGAGGACTCACACTTCATTTTAAGGCACTGTCAGTGTTATTGGCCCTGACCTTGCAGAGAACATGCAGGGCTACATCAGGACAAACAGCAGCAGGGCACCCTGCCAGGTTGGTGTTCCCACCCTCACTTTGTACAAAGTTTGTTTTGTTTTACAGGAAAACCAGATTTGTCCCCATTTGATGCCCCTCTCCTGTTCCCTGCTCCGAGCTCACAGCTTGGAGGATTGGTGTGGCCTGATCACTGATGGCCCCACTTTGTCCCACAGCTGTGTTTGCTGATGAGCTCATTCCCCTGCTTTGCACCCTCCATTCCTTCTGTCCCTCAGACATTTCCCTTTCCCGTAGGGAATGGCCAGTGGTGAGCAGCAGCTCTGCTCTGAGGGGCTGTCACTGCTGGCAGCTGGGGGCACCCCGCTCCAGCAGCTGCCCAGAGGGACAGCAGAGCTGAGCTGCTGCTGCAGGAGCACTCCTGGGCTGGCTCGATGGCTGGCAGCGTGCCAGAGATAATGTCCTGTGCTCCAGGGTAATGCAGCGGGATGCTGGCTCACCGTGAAAGCTTTCAGGCTGTCTGGGTGCTGGGCACTGCCCTGCCTCTGCTCTGGGGGTATCGGTGCTGCCTGTGCCCTCAGGAGGGTGCCGCTGGCCATTTAGAGCACTTATCCCACTTTCCCAGCTGTGTGATGCTTCCTGTGCTGCTTCCAGAGGTCACGCTGGGTGGGCTGCCAGCAGGGGACAGGCAGAGGTTTGCTGTGGCAGGTGACTGCAGTGGGTGAGTTCTCTGGGACCTGTTCCCCTGCTGGAAAATGCAGCTGGACCTGCTGGGTCCGTGGCATGGCACTGAGGGGGCTGAATTCTAGGTCTGACACACAGGGACACACAGGCACCCTGTCCCTGGCTGCTGTGGCCCTTGTCTGTCACCCAGGCAGGCCCTGGTGTCACAGCACTGAGTTCCCTTCTGAAGGGGTGGGACACTTTTCTTGCAGATCTGAGGTACACAGACTGTGTGTGCAGGAAGAAGTGGCTGAAGCAAAGGTAAAATCAGTTGCTGAATTATTGATATTAATAGTGAATTTAGTCTCAGCATTTCAGCAGGTTCCTGGTCCTATGGACTGCAGAAATCCCTGAGGGAATGAGGTATGTGAGGGATTGTGAGGCTGCTGTGCAGCCCAGCCCTTCAGCATGGCAGGTATTTATTTGCTGGCTGTTCCCTGCTCCTCACCTGCCGCATAAAGGTGCTTCTGTCCTTGGCTAGGAAGTTTTCCATCGTGTGTGCTCAGGATTGCCCAATAATGCTGCTATTTCTGGAGCTGTTACTGAGGGGTAGTGCCCAAAAAAATCTATTGCTTGATAGGGGAACTCTGAAGATGGAGTGAGCATTCAGGCATATGTTCCTTCCCAGCTGAGTAGCAGGAAAATAGAGGAAGAGTTCTCAGGCAGCAGGATTCCAGGGTTGGGAGTCCAAGCAGCTTCCAGTTAAAGCAGGGAGCAGATGCCAGCAGATGGAGTTCAGTCAGGCCTCAGATTATTCTTAATATCCATGTTACAAAGTGATATAGTACTGCAAAATTGAGCCTAGGAAGATAATCATGAAATAGTTTGGGTTGGAGGACACCTGAAAAGGTCACCTGGTCCAATCCTCCAGGAAATAATTGTACTGCACGTGGTCATAGAATCATTGGGGTTGGAAAGCCCTCAAGGATCACTGTGTCCCCCTATCCCCCAGCACTGCCAGGGCCACCTCTACCCCAAGTGCCACCCACAAGGCTTTAAATCCTCCCAGGGATGGTGACTCCTCCACTGCCCTGGCAGCCCCTGCCAATGCCTGGCACCCTTTTTGAGTATAAACTGTGGAGAGTGAGAAGGTCCCCTCAGAGCCTCCTCTTGTCCAGGCTGAGCTCCCCAGCTCCTTCAGCCCTTGACAGGCCTTGGAGCAACCTAATCCAGTGGAAAGTGTCCCTGCAGGGGGATGGAACTGGATGACCTTTAAACATCCCTCCAACCCAAACCTTTGTAGAATTTTGTGATCTCCAGCTGAGCCTTCTCCGTGTCTGCTGCAGCTGGGGATGTCTCTGTTGGAGCTGGACATTCCCAGCACGTGGCTCTCCATTGGCCTCACCACCAGGCAGGGCTTGAGCCAGCTGAGTTTGAGTCTGAGCTGCAGCCCCAGGCGTTTCTGTGGTCCTCCTCCTCCTCCTCCTGCTGCTGGTGGAGTCAGGGCTGCTTCCCGTGGGAGCCCCGGCCGTGGGAGCCCCGGCCGTTGGAGCCGTGGGAGCCCCGGCCGTGGGAGCCCTGGCTGTCTCTGCAGGTGTTGTGCAATGAGGGGATGCCAAGCCCATGGCACTCTCCGGATCCAGGCCGTGCCAGGCTCAGGTGCGTGGGCTGTGCCGGGAGCCCCATTGCAACAGATCTGGAGATAGTGACAAACAAAAGGGAGGGAGGTGAAGGGATTGCTCACAGCAGGTCCTTGGAGAAGCCTGGGCTATTCTCTGCCTGCTTCTGCACACCAAGCCGGCTTCCCAGAAGGAATTCCTGCAGGTTTGAGCCCCCAAAGCACAGTGTGTTTTTGTTATCTCCTGGCAAAGTACAGAAGAGTGAATATGCCACCAGTGGCTGTAACAGAAGTGCCCTTTCATCCCTGAAGCACTGACTTTATCTGCACATTTAGATAAGATTTGATTCAAACAAGAATGAAAATTTTGCTGTCCACCCATGAGGTTCTGTGTGCACCATTTTCCATAAGTGTTCCCTCTGAAACCCACTGCTTTGCTCTCTGCAGGGAGTCAGTCTGGCAGCTGCCAAGGAGCGGGGACAGCTTGTCTTCCTGGAGGGCCTCAAGTCCTGCCTTGACCTCCTGTTTGGGGAGGAGGAGCAGCCAGGACAGCCCAGTCCTCTGCAGTTTCTGAGGTGAGCCTGAGTGTGGAGTGTTCCCCCTCACATCTGCTGCCACCAAGGGCACCACCCAAGGTCCAGGACTGGCTCCCGCTGCCCTTTGTGCTCTCCTCCAAGGCCCAAGGACTCAGCTGGACACCAAGGGAAGGGAAACACCAGCATTGTGCACATCCCCCTAAGTGTCCTGGCCTGTCCCTCGCTGCTGCTTGGGGGGGAATTCTGTCCCCCTTTCCAGAATTTTTGGGGAACTTTCACCCCCAGCCTCATTGCCAAGCATGTCGCAGGTCTAGAACAACATTTATTTCAGCACTCCACAGGTTTGTGTCAAATGAAACCCCAGCCAAGTGGTTTTATTCCCATTTTTCATTATTTTGAGTTTTATTCTTATCCAAAAGAACAGTGCTACTTTTCCATGCTGGCTTTTGGGTTTATTCCCATGTCATTTTCTCCCTGTTCCTGGGAAGCTCAGCAGAGGCCAAACACTTCCCCAGCAGTGTCCCAGGCCATGCTGGACTGGGCTTGGAGCAGCCTGGGATAGTGGAGGGTGTCTGTGCCATGGCAGAGAGGTGGCACTGGATGGGCTTTGAGTTTCCTTCCCACCCAAACCATTCCATGGCCCCTGGAGCAGGGCAGGAGGGTTTCCCCACACGCAGGTATGAAGGAGCAGGGGCTGAAGGGCAGTGGGGAGGTGGCTGTCACAGCGGTGGGGACAGCAGGGAGGGGACAGGCTGATGATCCCCGCTCTGAGTGGGTGAGGAGGGGACAGGCGGTGCCAAGCCCCTGACACGTCCCTCATGTCTTGCAGCGGGGGCAGCTGTGACCTGCGAGCCCTGTTTGACTTTGTGCGGGTGTCCCTGAGCGCCACCGCCGGCGATTCCTGGAAGGGCCCCGTGCTGCTGGTGGATGACCTCAGTGTCCTGCTGAGCCTGGGGGCTGCCCCGGTGGCCGTGCTGGACTTCATCCACTACTGCCGTGTGTGTGTGTGCTGCCAGCTGAAGGTACTGCTGCCCTGGCCTCTGCCTGTGCACAGCATCCAGAGCAAAGCCCGGCTTTGTCTGCTCTTTCCATCTGACCATAGTGAGGCTTTGGAAAGGCTGTGGCTGTCTAAGGAGTTCAGATCTTTGCTCTGGGCCACTCTTGGGAGTTGTGTGGGTTCCTGAGTACCTGTGCAGGCTCCTGTTCAGAGGGATTCCTGGGAGATGCTGCCCAGGGAAGGGTTCTGTGTGTCTCTGATGTATGAACAGGGATTTGAGATGTAAAATGGTGGGTTTTGGAGCTCCTGGCTTTCCAAAGATCCTGACTCACATCCCTGTGTGGGAGGGCAGGGGTGGAAATGGGTTGTGTGAGGGGCTGGTGAGTCTCACAGGGGACAGAAATGAGGGGTCCATTTGGGGCACACCGGCCCCTACTCCACCACCTTCCAGTGAGGCTGCTCCCCAAGGTGGGGTGATGATCTCCAGAGCTCTCCCAGCGATGCAGGCACTCCTGGGAGCACCACAGCCAGGAGTACTCACAGTCACATCCAAGCTGTGCCCTCCCAGGCAGCGTCCCCTCCCTGGGCACTTCCCTGCAGGAGTGGGGAATGAGCCAACGGTGCTGGGTGCTGTCACCCTGCACTTCACACAGTACGGGGTGTTGGGCTCTATGTGCTGACAGGAATGATCTGCTCGCAGAGAGTATTTACCTCCAAAGAGCTAAAAAAGATGATCAACCACGCTAACACTTTGCTATTTCTGTCTGAGGTGTTCTGAAGCCTTCAAGTACATTTTAATTGATTGAGAATTCGTGTTATTTTAAGTCACTGGTGACTTGCATGGGCTGAGACAGAGTCTCTTGGGGTGGCTGTTAATAGAGTCGGTGTGTTGGGGAGCTGTTTGCTCCCTGTCAGAGCTGTGAGGGTGTGAGCATTGCTGCAGCCCTTTGGCCACCTCTTTATTTACCTGCTCTGAATTCAGTCAGTGCCATCTGCCCAGCCTGACAGACTGGTTCAGCCACTGTCTCCTCTCAAAGGCTGGAGGTATTTTTAGATTGCATGTTACATGTATGTATGTACACAATGTACAGTGAGCTCTTTGGTGTTTGTGTGTCACAGAATGGCCTGTGTTGGAAGGGACCATAAACATCATGTGTGCCGTGGGCAGGGACACCTCTGGTTTGGGCCCAGAGCTGGAGGCAGCTCTGCAGGGGGGTCTCACCTGGGTGGGGCAGAGGGGCAGAATCCCCCTCCTCTGCTGGATTAGCCAGGGTATGGGGGATTCTGGCTGGGCCATGTCCAGCCTCTCCAGCAGCAGCTGCTGGTTATTTTCCCAGTGGAATTCAGACCAAGCTGGAGCTTAGATGGGATGTTTGTGAAAGCTGCTGTTGCCACCCTCCCATTCTTTCCCCCAAAGGATTAGGCCCAGCCAGGGGCTCATCCCTGCCTGCTGCTCCCGTTGCAGGGGAACGTGGTGGTGCTGGTTCACAGCAACGAGGATTCGGAGGATGAGGAGAATGAGCTGGTTGTGAACTCCCTGTGCCATCACAGCGACCTCATCCTGTGGGCAGAGGGGCTGGCCACTGGCTTCTGCAAGGATGTTCACGGGCAGGTGAGGCACAGCAGCGTGGACAGCTGGCACGTGTCCCTGTCACCTACAGCACCGCAGGCCCGGGGTAATCCCGTGGGCACCAGGATCTGCTGGAGCACCCAGCTGTCACTCTGCTTCTGCAGGGATATTCTGGGACATGCTGCCACCTGGGACTCCCCACCTCTGGAAGCTTTCCAGGGTTTGTACAGCAGCTGCAGTGCAGGCTTCTCCCACCCCGGGGTGAGGGAAAACTTTCCTGGGAAGTTTCCCCAGTGGTGCATCTGAGCCTGGCCTGTGGTGATCTCTGCAGGGCTGGGAGGCTGCTGGCACTGGTGTGATCCCTCATCAGGGGCTGCCACCAAAGGCACAGGGACAGGCAGCTACTGATGGATTCTTTGTCAGTGACCCCGCTTCCCTGCAGGCCAGCCAGAGGCATGGGGGCAAGGCTGCTCTGGTTAGCCAAAGGAACAATGTTCCTATTCCCTTCTCTTTGCAGATCAAGATAATCAAGAGATTGTCCTTGCGGCAGGCGGAGCAGGATCTGGTCCAGGTCTACCAGTACAAGATCCAGGACAGGAACGTCACCTTCTTTGCACGGGGGCTGTCGGCTGCAGTGCTGTGACACTGTGACGCTGCAGAGCCTGGAGTGTCAGTCCCTGCCTCTGCAAAGCACCACCAGCACCTCTCAGGAGCAGCACAGTGAACCGACCCACGAGGGAAGCTCAGAACACCTGGAATGGTGCCAACGTGGGATCAGCCTGCCTGGGGCCTGCTGCATCCCTGTGTCCTCCCACCCCGTTCCCAACACGCTCAGGCCAAGAAAGGGAGCAAGAACTTGCAAGAATGGCCCTTGGAGCATGTAAATACAGGCAGGGGGTGCCCTGCAGGCTGGGTGTGCCTTGCCTCACCTCTTCCGGTGTGTTGGGCCCGGCAGGCGGTGCCAGGCACTGCACGGAGGGAGCTGGAGCTGGCACGGGAGGAGATGACACACAGCGGGTGGAGCAGGGATGGTCCCGGAGCCTGGCGCAATCCTACCCTTGCTCCCAGCTCTGGCTGGCAGAGGTTGGGCCATCTGCCAGCTTCCCTGCACTTGGTAAACGCACAGCTCTGTGCGCAGCCCTCACCTGGCTGTGCTGAGACTTGGCACTGCCACGCTTCATCAAACCCTGCGGCACCCCAAGCTCAGCCTGGCCTTTGTGGTTGGATAAACCCCTCTGCGAGCCTGTGTCAGCCGCTGCTTCCTCCTCCCAAACCCTGACTAGCAGTTACATGGCCTGCCTGTGCTGAAGCAGGTTTTTTTATTAATAATCTCTAATTTCAGTGAGATAAGCGTGCAGTGATTGTGTAACCACGGATCTCTGGGTGGGAACTGCTCCCCACCTGCTCCTTGGCAGGGAGCAGGAACGAGCATCTCCCAGGCCTGGGTGAGGACAGGGCCTTCCCCATGGCCACAGGGGCAGTCCTGGGAGCAGAGCTCAGGCCTGGAGGTCTCCTGCTAGCTGCTCCTGCTGGGATATCCCATTTATCCTGGGAGATAAAAGCATCCCACACACTTGTGAGAGTCCAGAGCAATCTGCCAGGGCCTTGCAGCTCCAGAGCTGGGATAGCAGCTTTGGCAGTGGGACACATTGCTGATTTTCCACGTACGCTCAGTGGCCCATCCCATGCTGATTTGTGCCCTTTGCCTCAAGAGTTTTGGCAAGCTCAGGGCTGTGGCTGCTGATCAGTGACAGCCCAGGGAAGCCAGGCAGGCTCCAGGGATTGTGGCAAAGCCACAAGGAGGGAGGGGAGTCAGGCCATGTGTGTGCTAGAGGATCCCTCGTCCCTGGTGTCCCCTGGGTCTGTGTTCAGCTGTGGAAGTGGCAGTGCCCAGGGTCACTGCACTGTCACCATATGCAGAGGGAGGAGGAGAGGAGCAGTAGCTGCTGGCACTGCAGCAGCCTAAAGTGCATCTGTGACGGGCACAGAATGGTGAATAATTGGAGTAATGTCTGTAGGATTATCCTTGGAGAGATCCCAAATTCTGGCTCCCAGGCTCTGCCTCCCTCTTGAAACTGGCTGGGTCACTGTGTGACATCACTGCTGTGTGACATTGTCACCGTATGACATCACTGCTGTGTGACATCACTGCTGCCTTCTGCCTGGTTCTTTCTGCCATAACCAGTGCCTGGATCCCAGAAATGAGCTGAGGAGCCTGGGCCTGACCCCCCATGTCCCCATGCAGGGGGTGTTCCCCGGGGTCTGAGCCCTTTGGAAAGAGCCTGTCTGCCTGCACGATGCAGTGGTGTGCGCTTGGACAGGCCATGAGCCCTGTGTGGGTCACTGAGTCACAGCCCAGCCCGGTGTCCAGCAGTGGCCTTGGCCAGCAGGACACAACGGGACAGCTGTGCTGCCCAAGGCCACCGGCACGGCCGTGCTCCCGTGCTCTGGAGCTGACGCTGCGGGAGGGCAGCCCCAGAGTGGGCGGCAGGAATGGTGCCATCGGTGGCAGGACAGGCTGGCCTTGACCGGGGTCAGCCACCAGCTGCGTGCTCAGCGCCCTGCCACGCACGGGCTGGGTGTGTGCCAGCCAGAGCTTGGGCAACGCTGGGAAATTGGGTGGGACTTGGCCTGAGGGCTCGGCTCCAAGCAGGGGAGATCCCACCAGGGCTGGGCTGGTGCTCAGGGGTGCGGGTCCCTGGGAGAAGGGGATGTGTTGTACTGGGAGCACTGCAGGCAGCAGGCTCTGTTGGTAAGCCTCAGAGTCTGGCAGCTGCAAGGAGGGCCCTGGAAAGGCTGTTCTGGGCTGCTCAGCCCCCGGAGGTGAAGGAGCAGGGCATGTTTTGCAGCATGGCCGCACGGCGCTGGCGGGAGAGCATTGCTGGAAGAGAAGGAAAGATCCCTTGGCCTTTGGGCACCGCTTGCCCCTTCCCCTGGCGTGTGCCCAGAGCCTGGCCCGCTTTTGTTCCCGGGAATCAGAGTCACCTCTGGCCCCTGCACCGAGCCAGGGCTCCCGCTGCAAGGCGCTCCCTCCCGAGGTGCTCTGCCCCGGGATGCTCCGGGGCTGCTGGTGCCCAATCCCCGCCATCTGTCCCTCGGGGGATACTCGGGACTCGCAGCGCCTGACCCGCACATTCCCGCCACGCCCGGCGGCACGGGCCGGCTCCGCTCTGCCCCGAAGCCCAGCGCGGCCGGTGCCCGGTCCTGCTCGCGCGGCGCCGGCCGCTGCAAGGCCCGGTCCCGGTCCCCGCTCCACGTGCTCCCGCCGCCTCCGCGCCGCTTCCGGGGGCGTGGCCGGTGAAAAGAGGGAGTGGTGATTGGGGCTTGATTATGCAAATAAACACGTATCTCGCACAGCGTGGGCGTGGCCATGCAAATCAAGCCTATATTGGGGACTAATGCTCCTGGAGGGCGTGGTCGGAGGGATATGGGCGTGGTCACGCCGACGGCGGGGGGTGTGGCCGGCGTGCGGCGCTGCGCGCGCGCGGTGGGGCCCGGCGGCGGCGGCGGCAGCGGGGGGAGGGCGGGAGGGGGTGGGAGAAACCGTCCTGCGCTAAAAAAGATTAAAAAAAAAAGGCCGGAAAAATCCCCCGCGCACGAAGCACGAGAGCCGCGGCTGCCGGGAGGTCAAAGGGCGGAGTTGAGGAAGGAGCCGCTTCCCGGTGAGGTGAGCAGGGCCCGGGCGGGCGGGGGCTGCGCGATCGGCAGTGGGAATAACCCCTCACCACCCCTGCCCTGCCTCGGTTTGCCCCGGCGGGGGCCCGGGCCGCGCTCCTTCCCAGCACCCCCGGCCTCCCCTCCGGCCCGCATCGTCCCGCTTTTACCCGGCAGGATCGGTGGGGAGCGCGGCATGGGGACGCCGAGTGTTTTATTCCGGGTTGGTCCGTGCCGGGAGGGTTCTGTGCCGGGGCTCTCGGGGACTGCGCTCCGTGCTGCCCAAACCGCGGGGTGGTCACCGTCACCTGCCCGGGAACCTGGGCAGAGATGGAGGAAGGGCTGGGGCCTCAGAGGTGCCCAGTGAACAGGGAGAGAGGAGAGAAGGGCTTGATCGCCTCTGCTGCAGGACCACGAGAGGGTTTGAGGGGAGGGATTACAGGGATGGAACAGGGAACGGTGGGACTGGGAATTATACACTCCGTGGGTTTGTACAGGGTCACTGAGCCCTCCGGAACCAGGTGGGTTTGGGTTTGCTGCTCGGGGTTTTAGGGAAAGGATTACAGTGATGGAACATGTAAAGGGAGCAGTGGGACTGGAGTAAAATACTCCGTGGGTTTGTACAGGGTCACTGAGCCCTCTGGAACCAGTGGACTTTGCTGCTCGGGTCTCTGGGGATCTGCCTCTGTGCTTGCTCAGTTATCTCACACCCCGAATAATGAACTTTGGGGTTCAGTCAAAATTTAGGAGTTGAGTTCCTCTGTGAGTCAGAATGAATACCTTTACTTTGTCTGTAATCTAATGGGCAAGGGGCTTTTGGAATGCTGAGGCAGTTGTGGGGCTGTGCTGGGGAGAATCCTGAGGAAAGGACTCCAGAACGATTTTGGCCTCAGTGCCAGAATTTCCTGAATGCAGCATCCACGTGTTTTTCCGGGTTGTTGAAAAGCAAACCAAGTTTCCTTTCATTCAAGGGGCAGAGATGAGGCGTGAGCTCCCTCTCTGTGAAAGCAGAGCTGTGAGGGCAGGACTAGGGTGGTAAATTTGGAATTACACGAGCTGTTGTGTAATGCAGAAAGCAGATTAGCTGGGATTGGGAAGAGAGGAAAACACCCCGGGATGTTCCCTGAGTGTGTGGCACAGCTCCGTGTTTCCAGGTACAACTTGACATGGCTTATTTTTCCAATCAGGATTTAAATATAACATCCCAAAAGAGCCCTGAACAATCAGACTTTGTCTCAGGAGCATTAAAATAGTATTTTAAGTGTCAGAATCCTATGATGAATGAATTAGTCAGGCTCTCCCTGAGTTACTCAACACTGTTTTCAGTCAGGGGGTTGCTGGGCCAGTCTGGCGTCAGAGCTGGGATCGTTATGCACCAAAAACTCCTTTTTTTTTTTTCCCTCTCTGATGAGAATTTAAAAAGTAGAACAGGTACAGCTCGAGGAACAAAAATAGCATTACCTGCCTGCAGTGGAATGTAGTCGGTGAGGAGCAGCAGCTCCTGGGAATCCTTTCCAGGCCAGGCAGGTGCAGGCTCCTTCCTCTTCCTCCCCTTCCCCGGGGGCTCTGGGGGACAGGGGGCACAGTCCCTGTGCTGGGCAGCACCGAGGGACTGCTGGCACGTGGGGCTCCTGGGGCTGGAAGGAGGGCTGGAGGCAGCTCTGATATCTGTGATTACAATTCCTCTGAATCCCCCTCTGCCCCTGGAGTGAAGGGTGCGTTAAAGGGTGAGAAGGAAAGGCTGAAGGAACTGGGCAGCTCTGTGATGGTGCAGCTGCTGTTCCCATGTCTGGGGGTGTCACTGCTCACATCCAGGATACCAGGACAGGGAGCAACAGGGAACTGAGGGTGGCTGTCTTGGAGGGAATCTTAATTCATGTCTGCAGGTGAAGACCCAGCTCCACAGACTCAGAACAGCCTTGGCCTTTTGGCATAACTGGGAAAAAGTAAAGTTCTACTCCCAGGAAAAGAGTGAATTCAGCTGGAGTGAGAGCGTGGTGGGCAGTGGAGAGGGGAGCAGGATTGCAGTTCTTAAATCTGAATTAATCTTGTATGGAGCATTGTGATGAAGGAATAATAGTTGGTTTGTGTACAAAGGACAATGTCCCAGTCAGACTGGGGGACTTGCTGCCTCACAGAGGAGTTTTGGGATCGTTTCTCCATCTGGAAGAAAGAGTGCAGTGATTTCCTGGGCCTGGCCTCCTAGCCGGTGCCGATTAGAAAGGAAAATGTTTGGTTGTGTGTGCTGCTGGGGGTGCCCAGTGTCCCTGCTCGGGGCTGGCAGCCCTGGCACGTGGTGTGCTCAGCCCTGC